TTATATAAATATGTAATACTGTTCTTGTATCCATGTAAAACATCCGTGTATTATGAAAACGACGTGAAATATTTGTGGTGAGCTATTACCGTTTCATCTCATATGACATACATATGATAGGAATACAAAATGTTATGTCTTGGGAGAAAGAAATTTCTTACAGTAATATCTTGTATTTCGAGAGTAATATAGACTGGAAAAATTGTGTCAAATGCAAATACTGTACATAAACTAATGGGAAAAATAACAATATAGGCTGGCCACTCTACACCAACCTCTGATTTTCCCATTTATAACCTGCATATTATACAAATTCTGCCTTTATTGACTTGATTGTGCTTTCCAGAAACTAGTCTTTAGGCCTTCCTCAAGTAATTTAATCACACAATGCTTATCCTGCATCGAGTACTTGGCAAACTTAACTCCCTTATGATAGTTCCGCTTCTCCTTTTCCTTATTTGGCAGCTTAGGTGGGTCTATCCCACCCCCACCAGCACCAGTAGGACCCCCAGTAGAGGTAGAGGCCATTATCTTGACTCGAAAGGTGGTAGCACCACCCAAAAAAGCATACAATAACAGCCCGGGCGGTCGCTAGGATGGCACGGGCTACAACTCGATAGTTGCCTTCTTGTAAACCTCTTTTACGTTCACCACCGGCAATCCGATCACCAGTACTCTTCTTGGACACATTCTTCTTACCTTGTCTTTCCGTATTCATCGATAACACAAAAAAATTGGGAGAAAATAGCGAAAATCACGAAATTATTGATAAGCAAAGCTATTCAACTGATCACGTGATGTAAACAGAGAGCACTAGTGTAAACCGTTATTAGTCCTCACTGCGAAATGACAGCATCAAGCATTGGGTGATTTCTCTTCCACCCCCACTTCCTTCTCTTCTCCCTTCTCCTCCACCCCCACTTCCAATTCCCATCATCATCATCAACCAGGAGCCTTCTACATACACACCTCAAAGTAAGTGTACTTTACTGCATTTTTTTTTTACTTTGTATGTAATTTTCAGTGAGATGGAACCAATTACCCAAAATCCCATTGAAACAATGGTTTCGGTTAACGAACGACCTTCTGAAACGATTTGTGTTCGTTAACCGAGGGACCACTGTATTCATAGTAAAGAGGTTCATAATGAAGACTGGTGGTGGTTGGTATATCATCCCTACCCTATTGCTTTTATTGAAGTTATTAATGATGCCAGTCTCATAATACCTGTATTGCATGACAGTTTAAGTATTATTTTTTTTTTTATATGGGAAATAGCCCACCTGGGCACAGGTCATCAACCCACAACAGGGTCTGGAGTGCAGAAAAAATATGAGTTAAAACAAAATTAAAAATAGAAGAGAAAAAGACTATATTGTACTAATCTACACCAAGAAGATGCCAGAAAACCATCTTTTTGAAGTGAGACAGATTGTATGAGTATGGAAACACAGAAGAAGGCAGAGCATTCCACAGTTTGGCTGTGTGAGGAAAAAAGGATGTACTGTAACGGGTTATTCTAGTGTGACCGACATCCACAGAGAAACTGTGAGCACTGTGGGCACGACAAGTGTTACGAGCCCGTGGCCTTGCCGGCGGTACACAGAATGCTAAATCCACCGACCATTGCCCGTTAAAGTACCTGTAAAAGAGAGAGTGAAGCAACATTGCCACGAAGAGAAAGGGAAGAGAGATTATCAACTAAAAGAGAAGAATTAATAAGACAAAATGCCTTTGATTCCACCCTATCTAACAGTTGGACAGAAGAAGATCCACCCCAGATATGAGAGCAGTACTCCAAGTTAGGACGAATGAATCCCTTGTATACTTGAAGCAACTGCTCAGGAGTGAAGTAGCTATGGCATCTATACAGCATTCCCAGCTTTTGGGAGGCAGCTTTAGCAATGTTGTGAATGGGTTGCTTCCATGACATATTAGAGGAAATGGTGAGGGCCTAGCTTATCTATCTTAGAACTTGGCAGAATGATTGCCTCCAGATATGTGATTGGTGAGAGATCATCTAATTTGTAAAGTGTTCTTGGTAAATACTGAGTTTTATTACTATTGAATTTAACCAAGTTTCTACCTCCCCATTTGGAGATGCTGCACAGATCTGCATTGATAGATGAAACGATATCAGCTCTAGAAACAGATCTAGTTTCAGAATTAGGAGGAAGGGGAAAATGTGAAGAGTAAAATCATCAGTGTAAGAATGTATAGAATTAGTAGTACCCCTGTAGTGTGAAGTAAATCATTGATAAAAAGAAGGAAGAGAGTAGGTGAAAAAACAGAACCCTGTGGAGCACCACTATTGGTAGAGAAAGAGCTAAAGATCGATCCCTCGACAACAATTGCCATGGATCGGTTCTCAAGGAAGCTAGCAATAAGAGAACAAAGTGGGGGAGAGAAACCATGGAATTGGGATCCACCACAAGGTCTCTGCTTTCAAGGAAAGGCCCAAAGAACAACACCGGGTTGGGAGACTACAGTTCCCTGAGCAGTATGTGGGGGAGACTTGGACTTCTGGTCAAGAGTTATTTTCTCGGGTGAAAAACTTTTCAACTCTACCAACCACAGCCATCTTTACTGCTGGAGCCACGAGAACACTCGTTATGACCCACAGCATGTTTATTAAAAAGCTATGTGACCGTGAACATGTGGGACTAGATCAACCTCAAGAGTGTGGGCAAGTTGGAGGGAGATAAATGACATATTCACCACAGAACAATATTTGGAAATTCTTTAAGAGGTGATCATGCTGCCACCAGTCCGAGCAAACACTCTGCCCTACTTTAAGCACATCATTTTCATGCAGGTAAAGTTTTGTTATATTTCCTAAATACTGTACAGCATAGTCTTGTTTTACGAGGTCAATTAAACCCGCGGAGGTCCGCATATAACGCGTAAACGAAATAGCAGAACATATGGGATTAATTGAAATAGAGACTGGGCCGACCCCCAGACGATCCTTTTTCCGACACAATACGTACCTTGTAGTAAAAATAACATCTTAATTTTATGATGGTATGCACACACAATTAATATTTAAGAGAAATATCAATAATATTAGGTTTTTTAACACTTACGTTAGTAGAAGAGATGGCTGGGCACACAGGGATGGGGGGTTGGTTCCGAGGCAGAGGGCAGATTATTGGCACCTCACCTTTATCACTTGTATCACCTGTATCACTATCCACCACAGAGGATAGCAGGGCCTCCTTGTCAAACCCCTCAAAGTCCATATCCTCACTATCACTAACGGGCTGGTTGTGGTGGGTGGCGGGTGAAGAACTCGGTAATGTTTTGTTGACTGGGCAAGCAAGGCTAAATAGACCAATCACAGCTCGTGGAGGAGGGGATGCGTGGGTGGTAAGGATCCGTGGCCCAATCACAGTCCGAAACATCATCCAATGTCAGCGGTGACGTAAGAGCGACCTAGCGCGCAGCTTGTCCGAACCGCTTCCCGCGTAAATTCAGGAATGTATCGCGTAACTAATAATTGGCGCGTCTGGACAGGTGCCGCGTAAATGACCAACCGCGTATAAAAAATCCGCGTAAACAGAAACTATACTGTACATGTAATGTTATGAGTCATTTTCATAAAACAATTTATATTGTTATAAAATAATACTCGTAATTACATGAACTGTATGACAATTGATTTTATCTGGTTTCAATTTCTCTCCTGACCGATACACCATCCACACCATCAGCAGAGTGAAGCAGTGGTTCACCAACACAGACCAAACCTAGTAGCTGGACTGGCTGAGTAAAGCCTGTGATAGGAACCTCATCGACATTATATGGGCCAATATGGTTAATTCATGGGAGGCACAGCAGGGGAGGACCAGTCAGCAACTCCTCCAGCACTCCCTGGGAGAATTGGTTTACAACATGACGTTTCTGTGCCGCATCATTTGCATCAAGTCATTGATAGGGAGGGGCGCTGGACTGGATATAACATACAGAAGTGTACTCAAACCAATTTTACCAATTGGAACGTAGAGCACACTCCGAAACAATGCAACACATAAACTGTGTGTGTGTGTGTGTGTGTGTGTGTGTGTGTGCATCTGTCAGTTGGGGGGAGTGTCCACATCATGTTTTCTGTTCTCTCTCAAATTTCTTTAGAACCTTGTAATATATAAAGTTAATATTTCAAATGCAGCACTTGATTATTCTAAAAGCTTGCCAATAAAATGTGACACTGATGATATGTAGGAACGAGAAGTAAAATTGACTTGAGCACCTCACCCCTGCTGTCTAGAACCTTCACAAACCCTCTCTCCTATCAGGAATCCTCTCTGCAGACCTGAAATTAAGTATTTTTTTTATGCAGGGTTTTTTATACCTGTCCTCCTTACACTCACATAAGACAACAACTCATATCACCGATACACAATGTAGTTATAAAAGTTCAAAGAGGATGTGCACATACACGCTATAGAATGTTCACATGATCAAAGTGTCTATCAGACGGTACTGTGCAGCGTGTATGTGAGGAGGCATTTCGTCTGTGCTCGCAAATACAATGGTTCTCGTCATTCAATTTACGTCAAAATAATTATTATTAATGGTATTCATTGGTTTGTTCCTGACATTGTTGGCAACCTGGCAATCTAGGCATGAAATATGTCCTTTAAAACACAGAGCGACACTTAAACTATGGGCCAGGTACGTCCATCAAGTGTGTTTGTGCGTACATATCTCCGAAGTTGCCAGGTTAGACAAAACTGCCTGGCACAGGATTTTTGGCTGGCACTATACATTACGCAGTATGTATGATGTACATTGCTGTGTAATATGAAGGACGTATCTTGTGTAATATGTATGACGTACAATTCGCAGTACATATGTCGCACATTGTGTATGATATATGATATACACTGTACATGTAATAGTAGAATTTTTCATAAGTTTAATATATGTACTTGTAGGTCATATACATTTCACCCACTGCACTAATTTTTGCTGACTGTATTGCATTGTGTGGCACTTACACAAAAGGTAGTTAGGGTTAGCCAGGCACTGAACGAACTCCAGTTCTATCTGGAACCTCACACGCTGAGCATCCTCACTTTCACCTGTAATTAAATAAAAACCATAAGTTATATGAAGATGAAAAAGGTATACAACACTGATAATGCAATAAATCCTTACAAAATAACATATCTTAAATTAAAGTCAAATCAAGAGTGCTAACAAATGCCTGTAATATGTTAGCCTTATGGACAAGTGCTTGGAAGTGGAATTCACTTTTCAGCACTAGTTACCTTGACCAGAGGTGTTGCAGCCGAGTGAATAAAGCACTTACCTTTTGTACCACAAGTGCAGTACCAGCCAAGGACTAAAAACAGTAAAGGCAGACTGCTATAACATCATAAATCTTAGCTCCGCCCCATTCAATAATGTTATGCTTGTGATGCACATCATCTGGTGACTTGGGGGCAGTCACCAGATGATGACAGCCTTACCTTGGTTCATGTTTGATTGCTTCAATTTTTTTTTAGAATACAGTACTCATAAGGCTAAGGCTTTTCCGTGGCTATGTATGACAAAATGAATGCCTTATGTTCTCAAAGTTCTCCAAATAATAAGTGATATAGTAAAAATATATATTTTTATTGTCATGTAGCACCACATATATTTGATTTCTAGGTAATTTCCTTACATGTTCAGAGGTAATTACCCTGCTTGTTGAGTAGGTAAGGCTATATTTTATATTACTTTGTTCCTGTATGTAATTATTGTTTAATATGTATTAAATATTATTGTATAACATGTTTATGTTAAATAAATCAGTTTAATGTATTAGTGAGGTAAAATAGTATTGTAATTGAAGACATGGTATCAGCACTGTGTTGGGCACTGGTCACCAACTCAGCCGGTGGAGACAGTGGCAGAAGCAGACGTGCCTGGTTGGTGTAAGGTTGTAGTTCAGTCGGTCTGGACTCGGGATATTATTGTGAAGATTAGTGGTGTACACCTTTTGTACTGGTCAAGTGCATGTTAAGGTTGATATTAGGGCTAGGTTGATTTAGGCTGTGGCTCTCAATATTTCATTGTTTTTCCTTTAAGGCCCGTCCACACGATCGAGCAGTGCCCGGCGGGCACACGCTAAATGCCTGTTATCGGGCAAACCAGCGGAATGCCCGTGCCCGTCGTTGAGCGAAATCATGGTCCGCCTGCCTGGTGGTTTCCTGCCGGATATGGAGCAACGATTCTGCCAGATAAATGTTAAAACCAGAAAACCGACATTCCTATAATATTAGCATTAATATTCAACATTACACAAGCCTGCAATACAAGATACGTGTTATTATTGGAACCTCACGTGACTGTCAAAAACAGCTGATCACAACGCCACCGCTGACCTTGGGGTCAGGGTCCTCAAGTCGGTGAGGTATCAACAGAGATACTGACAGAACGTATGCTCGCACTTTGTAAAACCCGAGTTTAGTACTGCAAATGTGATACGTATATGTTCCCCGCTCGGTCCAGATGTCCAGTGTATAACCAAATAAGCTTATGCAATGTACATTATTGGCGTGACAATAAACGGGAGATTGTTTATGTATTATGTAATGAGGACATTCGTGTGTGTTCTTCGTTCCTGCCGCTCTCCTCACTCTAGTCCCATAGCTTCCTGTCTATGCATATCATAATTCTAACATTATTCAATGAATTTTTATGTACTACAAATCTCACCTGCAAGTAATCTTCCTTGAGTACTTCATACATGGCTTGACAATTTGCAGGTATTATGCGAGACAAACTTTGTTTTGACATCCTCGTTCTATACTGAAGTGACGTGTAGGTGCACCCAGTTGAAAGATATATGAGCGTTGCCTCTAGACGAGCCTCTGCAGATATACTCTCCCTCATATTGGTATCCTGTTTTTTTATATATGGTTCCACTTTCGCTAGAAGTTTGTAAAAGGTGTTGGGGTCCATCTTGCAGTTCACTTAAAATCGTGGCATGACTTCCATATACTTTTCTTCGACCTAACCACGCTTTGCACCATTCCCTTTTCTGCATTTGGTTTTTTTTGCACACATCAGCAATTATTATAGTACACTACACTCTGCTCTTCGCTTTAACTGTCCGGCGATTAATCCTGCGACACACCATGGTGATCGTACCGCACCCACCACTGCCGACCACCTACTAGCTACCGGCGCCCGACTATAACCATCCCCGTGTGTACACCACCACACAGGCTTTGCCCGGTAAACATGCAAAGCCCGCCGGGCACTGCTCGATCGTGTGGATGGGGCTTTACATGTCCCTTGTATATACGTTCTTTAATTTTATTATACCAATTTATGCAGTGTATGATTTCTCCTCACTATGAAACCCATTTAGCTCGAGTTAATGAGGCTTATTATTAAGAGCCTGGGGGAGGTAATATGAATTGTTATAAGGTTTATCCTGCTTATAGATGTGACCACTAGTGGCAGGGGTGTTTCTCAATGCTATCACGATCAAGCCTCGCCACTTATTTTGACTAGTGGCAGAATATTAATAAAGAGGAGTGATGGCATAACAGAAAATAGAGCCTTCCCGGATTTTAATTTTCATATTGGTAAACAGTATTAATCAGAGAACAAGTTAGTTCTTATTAAATACATTTTGTGACTTATCAATATCTGGTTTGACAATACTTTGAGTTGCATGAAGACAAAACAAAATGGAACCTTTCAGTGTAGAAGAATTTCTGATGGAACCATCAGTAATAACTTTACTAAACTCTTATGTTAGGAAAGAGGATTGGGTTGAAATAGCTCGTGAGTATGAGGTCCAAATTAAACATCACTGGAGAAAGTCTGAAGTGAAAAATGCTGTTTTACGTCACCTTATAAACACAGAGGTACTTGACGAGTCCGCTTTATCATTGTGTGAGTTAGAACTTTGATTCTAAGTATCATGCTATTAGGATACTGGAACGGGAGTTAGAAAGAGAAAAGAGAAAGAGAAAGAGAGAGAAGGTAAAGAGAAAGAGAGAGAAGATAAAGAGAACAGAGAGAGAAGATAAAGAGAACAGAGAGAATTTCAGTTAACATTGCTTGAAAGGAAAGCTCGGCTTAAGTGGAGTACTGAGGAGGAGCATAGAAGAAATATTAGGGAAACGTTTGATATTACACAGCATGTGAAACTTGTACCTCATTTTCAAGAAACTGATCCTGAAGAATTCTTCCAACAATTTGAGAATGTTGCAAATTGTTTGAATTGGTCCAGAGAATATTGACCATTACTAATACAAACAGTCTTAATGGGTAAAGGTCGTTCTACTTATTTGTCTTTGTCTTCCACACAACAATCAAACTATAACGAAGTTAAGGAGGCAATTCTGAAATGTTATCAAGTAAATGCAGAGTATTATAGAATTTTATTTAGAAATGCTAAGAAAGAGCCCAGCCATGCATATATTGAATATGCCCACTTGATCAAGCTTAAAAATAGATGGTATTCTTCCAGTAGGGTTAGTGATTTTGATGAATTAAGTGTGCTTATTGGCCTTGAACAGTATTTAAGAGGTGTACATCCTGATGTCCGTCTGTATCTTTGTGAGAAAGTGACCCCCTCTTGATAAAGCAGCTACACTTGCTGAAAATAATCATTTTATTCATAATATTGGAATGAAAAGTCCAGTCCCAGCCAAGCCAGTCTCGTCTGTTTTTCAAGTTCAGGATGATAAGCAAATGTTAGGGAGTCAGGGCATTTCTGCAAGCAGCAACCAATCATTGATTAGTTCTGGAGCAATATTTAGTAGCCCACAAGACTATAAGAGTAATAGTTATTTCAGTTAGTCTGTAGTGTGTTACTATTGTAAGAAGCCTAGCCATCTGATTTCAGTGTGTCCTAAGAGACAGCATAACCAGCAGAATACAGGTAGTGAACAAGCAAATATTAGTTTAGCTTGTGCCCAAGGTAGATACTGTTAACCCATCGAGTTCTCTTGGAGAACCAGGGTGCAGGGACCACAGTTGTCATTCCAGCCGTTTAGATTCAGTGGCTTTTTGTCAGCATCAGAAGATAGTGCAGCGATACCTGTTGAAATTCTGAGAGATACAGGAGCTTCTCACAGTATGGTTGTTAAAGGTTCTGTACTTTTTTTAGAAGAAACTTTGACTGGTGAGTGTGTTATTCTGCAAGGAATTGGCGGATTCATTTCTCTCCCGTTGTGCCGACTATTTCTGAAGATTGATCTCGTTTCCCAGCCAGTGACTGTGGGAGTGCAGGATTCCTTGCCAGTGAAAGGTGTTTCATTCTTGTTGGGGAATGATATTGCTGGTAAACTTATTGTACCTGATCCCATTGTTACATTCAAACCATTGAGTAATAATGCAACTGCTGATGTAGAGGCAGTGTACCCTGATCTTTACCCATCAAGTGCAAAAACTAGAGAAGAGTTTGACTGTGGATGCAGGAATGACTAATATGCCCCTTATTTCTGATAACCATTCTGATGGTATTGTTGTACCCGTTGATCATAATGAATTAACCAAATCGGTTGCACCAGTAGACGCTATGGAGCTTAGTAACCTTCCTGTCACACGTGATATGTTAATTGATGCACAGAAGGCTGATCCCGAGTTGATTTCTTTGTATACCAGAGCTGTCGCAGAGTTGGAGAGTAAAGTTAGCCCTGTGTGCTATTATATCAAGTCCGACGTACTCATGCGTAATATTCGACCACAGGAAGTTCCAGCTAGTGATACTTGGAGAGAAGTTCATCAGATCGTGGTGCCATCCTGCTACAGATGTAATGTTTTAAGTTTGTCTGATGACTTTGTAGGACACCTTGGAATTAAAAAGACTTGAAAAGATCCTTAGATACTTTTATTGGCCAGGAGTAACATCTGATGTAGCACAATATTTTCGGTCTTGTCATATTTGTCAAATGGCAGGTAAGCCAAAACAAATAATCAAACCTGCAGCACTAAAGCCAATTCCTGTGGAGGGTGAACCTTCCTCCAAGGTAATCATAGACAGTGTTGGTCCCCTCCCCAAGACAAAAAATGGTCATCAGTTTCTCTCGACTATTATGTGTCACGACTAGGTATCCAGGGGCAATTCCCT